TCTGCCCAGCTCTCCAGCCTGTCCAGGTCAGGACAATTTCAATTGGTTTTATTAAAGTAGTAGTGAAATAAGCTTGAAATAACAGTGTAGTCTTGCACAAATTAACTGCTGTGCAGGGAAGCTGTCATCCATAGGAGAAGGTGCTGAAATAGGTTTTATTCCTCCTCAAACTTCAATTTCTGGAAATGTTGAAGTTAAAATTGCCTTAGAACTGTCAGCACAGCTACCTGAAATAAAGTTTTGCTTTTTGTAAAATTAGCGTCCAGCAGATTTATGTTGAATAAAGAAGTGAGGCCATCTTAAAAACCACTTTGTTCAGGGAACATATACTTAAACAGCAACAAATGATGAAAACCAGTTCACAGTATGTCATAAGTGTTGGTGGTGGGGAAATTACAACTAAGAATATTGTAGTTTTGCAATGAAGCTTTAGTTCTAAAGTGTCCTTAAAGATATTTTTAAAGCAAAGCATAGTAGAAAAGACTGGAATTTCTTCAGTCAAGTCTATATATTTGAAGTCAGATCTGTTGTAGTGAAAATACTGATGGGTTTTCTATTAGAGGTTGAAGGTTTTGGTTAGCTTGACTGTTAAATCCTAAGCTTATGCTTGCAAGCACGAGACTTACATGGGGAAGGGAAAACTTTTAATTTCAGTGAATATCATACACAGTTGAAATAAAGAGTCTTGGAATGATATGCTGTCATTGTTTGTGTCTTGGTTTAATTGTTCTAATGTAATCCTTCAGCATTTTAATGCAAGACTTCAGCCCTCCTTTCTGTTCCAACTTGTCTACTATATTGAAACACTCCTTTGTTTGTTTGGGGTTTTTTCTTGCCTTTAATCTGTAACTCCTAATCCTGATAAACTGTCTGGTGACTCTTTCACTGTAAATACTGTTATTGAGGTAGCTGTTCAAATTCTTACTGGTTTAAAAAGTCACTAATTTGTTATTGCTAGCTACTGTCAGAGTATCACTTCTGACCGCTTAAATGAGCTCTGTTTACAGATGTGCTAAAACTCAATAGCAGTCTTTAGTCTCTTAATCTCGTGAACCCAGTCTCTTCAAAACTGACGGCTGACTTGTTTTTTTCGTAACTAAGGATTTGCCAAACTTTACAATTAAAAAGCAAAAAAAAGGTGTATCTAGCAGAGTACCTGTTAAAGCTGGCTTGGGTCAAGTTTAAGTGAGCATGTCATCTATGGAGGCTGTATCTAAATTACATTTCAGTTGTCTTTAAGAAAAGTAGAACTTAGCTTTCAGAATTCTTGAAGACCTCACCGATGTAAGAGGAAGCTGCAGCACTACTGCCTATCCTCATCTAACATAGAAATACAGCTTTGGGAATAGCTGCGTTGTTATATGGAGGAGAATGGGACTTCACATGTCAGGATTTTGTGGGTTGTGTTACTGGAACAAAACTGGAGCAGTGTCTGTGCTATGCTCAATTTGCTGGGGAGGTGCAGTGCCAGGTACCTGAGCTGTAACTGCTGCAGAACCGCCCCAAATGAATTCTGTGTTTTGGCCGTGCTATACTGATTTGTACTAGTCTGTATCTGAGCACTGATATCTTGCTGGTTACAACATAATGTGTTTTGAGGTACTGGTGCATGTAGCTTCCAATTTTTCTTCTTTCTAAACTGAAAATCCAGAATATCATAGTAGCACTGGCTTTTAGTAAATACTTTTATTTCCTCCATTCTGTTTTGTATGCTTTAGGCTGCTTTTGTAACTTTAAAAAGTGGGTGGGCCTTGCTAGATTGTAAGAAATACCTAAATTGAAAAGACCATCTAGTGTTCTATATGTGCTTTTAGTAGTTAAGTAAATTTGTACATATGAATTAAAACCGACTTAACATCAGCACAGTAGATGTGGGATCTCCTAGTCCCTTCATCTGGGTGCTTGTCTTGCTGGTGTGGAAGTTTTTGGAGTTCTGCCACGCATTTAATGGCAGCAGCAGCAGAAAGCCTCAAGCATAAGAGCTTTAACTTGGCATTAATGAGACAGTGCTGCCAAGAAACAGGGGAGTACATGCAGATAAGCCATTCGCCGCACTCCTTTCCTGTTGCTGCACACAAAGAATCATGTAATGTTTGCTTCCCATAAAGCAAACTGTAGAGCTTGTGAAGTTACGAGCAGCTGATAAAACGCAGGCTATCTGAAAATCACTTTCTTTTGAAATGTTTTCCATAGGATTGAGATAACAATGTTGATGGAATACCAGGAAGAGAAATTTGCCCTTGCAGGACTCAAGCATGAAATGTCTGTTTCAAATGCCAGCACAGTCCTTGAATTTCTAGGACATTGTTATAATTATTAGTGTTATGCTTGCATTTAATTATGATTTATTTCGACTATGAGGCAGGGTTCTGATGATCTAGACTTTTAAAGTTGGTGATGATCTAAACCACAGTAGATATCTAAAATGGGAGTCAGGAGGACGTAATCTTTATGGCTTTGAGTCTACAGACAGACAATGAAGCATGTTGCTGAGATCAGCTGTTAATTCAGTGCTGGCACCTCAATAACAGGAAATTGTTAGTGTGCTAACAATATTGCTCTATTTTGGGGAAGCAGTCTAAAAGCTTAGTAATTAATTGTTCTTAATTATATTTTAGAAACTTGATATCCTGGTGTCTCTAACTAGTAAATAACCGTAGTCGTCGTGTATACGGAGTAAGTATTCTGATGAGCCTAGCATTGTGCCTTCACTATGCACTTTTGTATTGAAACAGGATATTTTAACTAGTCAGTAGTCTCAAAGCTTGTGTGACCACTGTTGTGTTCTTAATAGTTTGGCCTGTGTAGCCTTACATGTCCTGTGTTATGCTTTCTGCTGTCTTCACTATTGCACAAACTCACAGGGCTTTTACAAAGTTAGGATTTTATTTTCTGCAAAAAGCAAAAATTAAATTTTGTTCCCCCTCTTTTTTTTTTTTTTTTCTTGCAGGTAGAGCAAGTGAAATTACTAGATAGGTTCAGCACAAGCAATAAGTCACTGACGGGAACTCTATACCTTACAGCAACTCATCTGTTATTCATAGATTCAAGCCAGAGAGAGACATGGGTAAGGCTAATGAATGCTTGCGGCTCAAAAGCATTGGTTCTCCAGATGCATTTGTTCTTCTTGATGTAAGGTTGAATTTGTCTGCTAAAATGGTCATCTAAGTTATAAGCTATTTCCCCACACTCTCCCTGTTCATGGCATCGTAATAAGTTAATAATTTGCAGATTGTATTCTTGCATGATGCTCCTGCAGTTGAAATGGGAAGATGTTGAAAATGCACTTCCCTTCAAGCTGCTGTAATTTCTTCTATAGCCGTCACTTCTATTCCTGAGTGAATGTGTGGTGGTTTTCTTTAAATAACTGACTTGCATAGCAGTTCAGAGGCAGGAGTGGGAGACTGCTAGATAATTTAAGCATCAGGTTTAAAATTTCTGCTTTAACTTACCTTGTATTTAGATCCTGCCTAGGTTAAATGAGACAGCAAAATCCAAAGATCTAGGCTTTGGTGAAATATTGAAGATCCCATGCCCTTTTTTAGAGTGGTAAGCAGCTGTTTCTTCCCAAGTGTTCATCTCTGGAATAAAAGCATTCAGAAGGGGCTGCAGCTTCTTGATGACCAGTACCAATGTTGTACAATCGAAGTTGTCTAGTACAGTAATTCCTATTAGTTTTTTTCCTCAGTGCTGTGGTGGCATGTGCAAACATCAGGTTTTAGCTTCCGTTGTAGCCCAGCTACCTGACTGAGTTCAGTGCCTTAAGTCTGTCATCCTTCAGGATGAAATCTTGTTTCCCTGGCTGTGGTTAACTTTTTTCCTGTAGGTGTATTCTCTGTGTGTGTATTTTTCTGGATGACCCTTAATCCCATGTCCCGGTTATCTGACTAGATGCCTCATGCTGCTTTCAAGAAAAGTTATTTTTCTGTGATTTGTTCTTGGATACAATGTGCGATTTTGTACAAACCAAACTATTATCCTTTCATACAAAATGGGTTATTCGGAGAACGTGATTCAGAAGCATTACTTGCATCTCCCTGTGCACCGTGTTAAAAGGTTTAATTTTGGGGAAATTGAACTTTGTACTCATGAGTGTATCATTTCTGTGATGATAATGCAAGTACCAAGTATAATTATGATAATGTCTCCAAGATACAATCTCTTTGTAAATGCGTATTTGGCAGCATAGTTATCAGATGCCTGTCTAATTCTGATCAATATTTAAGAGATGATTGCTTCAGTGAGGTAATTGAAATGCTGTGAAGAACATCTTGTTCAGTTGAGGTAATGTAGTTGGCTTTCTTCCCATGGTTGAACAGCTATTACTTTCCCATGTATTTTCCTAAGTTTTGTGTAGATTTGCTACACAGATAAATCTATGGAGGACTTTTGTATATTCATTAATATGACAGTCTTCCGTTAAAGTGGTTGAAAGGCATTCATCTGAGAGACTGCCATGTCTACATAACACAATGGGTAACACGGGAGGTGTTTTTCTTGTCTCCTGTTCATTCTGTAGATGTTAAATACTGGAATTCTAATGTCTTCTGCAACTTCTGAATCTTTTATCCTTTAAGTTGCTTTCCTTGACTTGGTTTATTTTGCCTGAAAATTCTGAAGTTTGTTCCTGTAGATCCTTAAAAAAAAAAAAAAATCATGTTTGGATCTTGCCTAATTAGATGTACACTTGTCAGTTAGCAAAGTTATAGAAGAAGACTGAACAACCACAGTGGAGTTTTACTTCTCACTTTTGCATTTAGAAGGATATCTACTGTTCCTTACAAACATTAGGTAACGCCTCAAAATACGAGGGAAGAGAATAATTAAATGTTGACAAATTATGATATCCTGACCAAGATGCCAGTCTTGGATTTCTTCTTCTAAATTTATTTATTTTTTAGTAACAAATGATTGAAAAATTAGTCAGAATCCATATTTAGCATTGCTCAATGCATCTTATATTTACTCTTGTAAATACTGTGCTGTTCCATTTTTCATCAGTGTGCTTATGCTGTGAGTTCTTATATGCCACAGATTCTACATCATCACATTGCTGCGGTGGAAAAACTTCCCTTGACTACTTCTGGCTGCCCGCTTGTCATCCAGTGCAAGAACTTCAGGATAGTTCACTTTGTCGTTCCCAGAGAGAGAGATTGTCATGACATTTATAACTCTTTGCTTCAGCTGTCAAGAACAGGTAGTACTTCTGACTGTAAAAGACTTTGCAGTATATGCCTGGATTACAAGTTGTTGGGGGGAGCGGGGAAAATCCATGACTCTTATATTTATTTTTTTGTAAATGTACATTATGAAAAAGTCTTTTAAATTGATTTGGTATGTAAAATAATGATTAAGTATTAATCTGCATACGAATTCAGAAGATGTGGGTTTTGGCCTTTGTAGGTCACTGATATACACTAACAGAATGTGAGACTCCTGTATCTTTTTATTTCTCGTGTTATCCCTGAAATTGTGACTATAAATGCAGGTAGTCTCTCTTAGTTGGGTGTGTTCCATAACTTAAATGCTACTAAGCAAATATTGTTACTGACTTCATGCAGTTTCAAAAATAAAGCTCAAGTTTTGATGCTGAAATAGCACTACCAATTCAGCTTTACAAGAGACTTCTGTCACCCAGTGTGGTCTTTTGCATTTTCTACTTTGTGTTTAGAACAATGCAACATGTCATCTGTGATATGTGAATAGTGATTTAGGTAAAAAACATAAAATATTTTGAAAGTTTTTTTGCTTTGAAAGAAACTTTAAAACTTATGCTTTTAAATGTTAGTAGATGTAAAATTCTGTTTTTACCTCAGAAAATTGTTTCTTCTTTTAGCTCTTGTGAAGTCTTCTAATAATTCTGCCTTTTGTCTTGTTTGGTTTTTGTCAGTATTCATTTTCTGACTTCTGCTTTGCCCTTGTGGCTTTAGAAATGTCCCTGCTGAAAGGTCAAGCACACTTAAGAAAGCTCTCATAACCTACCTTTAACTAAGTATCTGTAACTGTGTCAAGTATCCATTTAGTCTGGCTTCTGAGAATCCTGAAGCCTGAAACCTTCTCTGCTATTTGGGCAGTTTCAAGACTTGTCAACTGTGCTACTTTTCTCCAGTTGGATGTTTTTGGGGACAACTCATTACATAGGCTTTTTCTTTACCTTTTAGCAAAATATGAAGAACTGTATGCCTTTTCCTACAATCCAAAACAAAACGAATTAGAGCAAGTCAAAGGTTGGCAGCTTATCGATCTAGCAGAAGAATATAAGAGAATGGGAGTGCCAAATGCTAACTGGCAGTTGTCCGATGCAAACCGTGATTATAAGGTGAGTGTTGTAATGGAAACATATTTTGCTCTGCATCTGTTTCTGCTTTATCCTCTGATTCTTGTCCTATAGAAAACAGTCTAATACTATGAAATCATTCGGCTTGCAGCATAAACAAAAACTTGCATCTGGAGAGAGGTAACTCCTTAATTGGTGTGCAATCTCACAACTTTCTAGCTGTAGTTTTTTCCAAGGCCTCATTGAGACAGTATGTGTGCATGGATGTATGTGTTCTTTGGAATTGTTTCTAGAGCATACTTGCCTGTCTGAAGCCCAGACCCAGCAATTCTGATGCTCTGCAGCTTTGTTATCTCTCTTAACTGAGAAGGATTCTACTTTAGCATTTACAGTGTTGGCTGTGGGAGACAATGGCTATGGTGGTGCAGCTGGTTCCCAGATTAGATTTCATCTTACTTTGTAGTCTGCAAACACAAAAAACGAGGGAAATAATTTCAGTATTTTATTTGAAACACATTCTTAGCATTTCTACTGAAGAGTTGTGTTCTTGAGAGGTAAATGCTATGTATTGTTGTATAAAGTTGAACAACTTAGATACCAATTTGTACTTAGTGTTTATCCTTTCTCTTATTTCACCTAGCATCTCTCAAATTTGATGCAATAAAACTAGTATGGGCTTTGTGCCTTGTACATAAAATTCTTCTTGTATATCTGTGTCTCTCAGATTTGTGAAACCTATCCTAGAGAGCTTTATGTTCCCAGAACTGCAAGCAAGCCCATAATTGTTGGTAGCTCCAAGTTCAGAAGCAAAGGAAGATTCCCAGTGTTGTCATATTATCATAAAAATAAAGAGGTATAGTGTGTCTTCCTCTTAATGCAAATGTACTGAAAGTTGTTCTCAGCAGTTGGCAGAAGTTCGGGGTAGGTAAGGAAGTAAGCACAGTGACTTATATGAGGGTGGTATAACTCATGATAACCTTAAATACAGCTAACACTAGTGGTGTCTAACAGGATGCTGAATTAAGCTAAGCCAGTTTAAAAGAAATCCTTAAGTAATCAGTTGAATCTCTTAAAGCTATCAGAAACTGACCTTAAGATAACTGAAGATAGCTTTTTGTCAAGTGATTTGTCTTCCTTGATGTATCAAGAATAAAATCTCTTGGGTCAAAATTAGGGTTAAAGAAACCAACACCCCAAACACCGAAAGAATAGCGCTAGTTCTTTTAAGGAGGAATTTGCAAGGTAAAAAACTAGAGGATGAGAAATAAGATATTGCAGGGTTTAGTAGGGTGGTGTGAAACAGCATCTGCTTGTCTCAGCTAGGGGGTATCTGAAGGGAGAGAAGAATTGTCGCCTTGATAAGTTGAAGAATTTATGAAGGATGAGTGTTAAGCTACTAGATGTATTTGCAGATATTTACTGTTTGGAAGTTGTACCTGGTACCCTCTGAAATACAATATATGATTGAAAACAATGTGATGAAAATTACGTCAGACAATAACATATTGTACTTGCAATAATAAAATCATCCTTGCAGTGGTAAACCCAACCATAATTCATTTCATACCAGGAAAGTAACTTGCTTTCCAGCCTATACTTTTTTGGTATCTTTATACTTGGGGAAGGTCTGTTATGTAAACTGATACCTTGCCCATATCAATGCATCTGAAAAAAATGCTTTGATAAACCTTTAGATTTAAGTTGTAGGTACGGTGTTTGGAGGTCTGCCAGTGATGTACTTAAAAAATTGGAACACCACCTAAACTTTAGTGTGGTTATCTGCCAAATGGAACTATTCGTTTTGGTGTCTTTAGAGTTATGCAAAGCATTTCAAGTACAGGTATTAAACTGATGCTGACGTGTTCGTTGTTTCTATGGTAGGCTGCGATTTGCAGATGCAGTCAGCCTCTCTCAGGTTTCAGTGCCAGGTGCCTGGAAGATGAACACATGTTACAAGCCATCAGTAAAGCAAATCCTTCAAACCGTTACATGTATGTCATGGACACCAGGCCGAAGGTATGTGCTGCAGGTTCTACAGAGTAGCCTTTCTTCCCGATCATTAGAGTACAGGGATACAGTGTAATTCTGAAAGACTAAATATGATGCCACGAAGGGCAAAAATGTTCTATAAAGGTAAGGTTAGGCCTCTATTCAGGTGTTTAATTACTTGCTTTCTTAAAGGAGCTGAACTCCTCTCAGGACTCAGCTAGAGTTCACTGAATATGCTAATGAACTTTTTGGGAAGTGGATTTAAAAATATACTTAAAACAAAGTTAAGAAGTGGATAATTGAGTGGGATCGAAGTAATTGTAACTTTGAAACTAAATTTGTGAAATGGTGAGCTGTGTTGGGTTTCTTTTGGAATGGGAGGGAGTACTGTGTTCTCTGTAAATGTTCTGTGAAAACTGCTATTGCTGTCTGTCTTAGCCAGGAAGAAGTAAGGGAAATACTATTGTGGCATTCTGAGGTCAGACTTCATTACTGTCTAATTAAACTGAATTATGTTGGTTTTTTGACCTGTGTTGGAATGTGTGGGGTAACTTTCACTCTTTAGACCATCTGCGTTTAAACTGGTATTCATTTCACTCAAATCTCTGAACAGAGGAGCTGGAAAACAAGGATGTAAAGTGAAAATCCTACGTGGTAGGATCTGCACTTATTTTGAGCAGAAAAATAGGTCAGTCTGACAGGCTGAAACTGAGCCAACTGTTTTATAGTTGTAATTTTGTAGCTGCAGCAATTTATTAGCTTCTTGCCCCCCAAACTGACATTTTTAGGATGCCTGGAAAGTGCATGTATGGTTAAGTCTGGGTATTACACCTTCCTTTTTAGGTTAATTGTTGTGCCTTTGCTCGGAAATATTTGGAAATAAGTAAAGGTTTTCTTGGTGGGAATATGGAGTTGAGAATAGCAAATTATTAAATGCATTATTCAGATTTGTCCGCTCTAAATATAGGCCACCTGTTGCTTTTAATGTACCGTGCCTTTCTTAACTTGAATGCCTTCAAGTTGATTTGCCACAAACTGTGAATTTATTAGAATCTGTTTATAGTATATGCTCATGTATGGTTTTTTCCCCAGTGTATTCAATTGAAATTGCATGACTTATGTTTCTTGATTTGAGATTTTTATTTCAAGTACTGTTTTTTCAGTATTTTTATTTTGCTCTTTTAAGCTTAATGCAATGGCAAACAGAGCGGCTGGAAAGGGCTATGAGAATGAAGACAACTACTCTAACATTAGGTTCCAGTTTGTTGGCATTGAAAATATTCATGTAATGAGATCCAGCTTACAAAAACTTCTGGAAGGTATGTTCTAACTGTACTATAAGAGTGTGTATGAAAATAGGAAAAATATTTTTCTGAAGTTTTTAATAATAGTTTACGCAAACTGCATTGATAATTCTACGTCTTATCCCAGCTTTATGTTTAGTACCGGTTTGCTGTGCTCTGTGTTAATGAATTACCTTAAACCTTTACCTTTAAACTGTAAAACAAATGAATGGAGTTATTTTTGAAGAAAATTAGCTGAGTGGCACATACGTCTTGGGTGAACTTGATTAGTATGTCAGTGGCTTGTGGGAAAGAATTCTGTGTCTTCCAAGTATACGTGCATGTATGCACATGTGTAATATAAATACACAAAATAAGTGTGCTTGTGCATATGTTTTCATATATAGAATACTGATTGTTCAAGGAGCGCTTAGTTCCACAGAGTTCAGAATAAGCATATGGTCTGTACAAGACTGGAGCTCTCTAGCTTGGTGAGCCACTTCTGTGCTTGTAAGTACCTCTTGGAATGTTTGTAGAGAGGGGGGCAGGGGGAAAGTGAACCACTTGACCATGCCACTGCCTGGAAAACAGAGGCGCAGAAGTCTGTTAGATAGTTCTGATAATATTTTATTTAGGTAAACTGCTGAAAACAAATTTAAGACACTTTGTGGAGTATTAATACTGAGATTAGAGTATGGTGGCAGAAGTCAGGCTTCTACACCTGACAAACAATACATATAGAAGTGCTTGCCTTCTAGAGTTAAGTGAATACTTCCAGTCATGGAGAAGGCTTACCCTTGTATGGAAGCCTATTTTGATGAAGACATTCTGGCTACGTTGGTCAAGAAACCTTAGACTGGTGGTATAGTCTTACTTCACTCTCATTGAGCCTATATCTGCTGCTAACCTATTCTTTGGGCACTCTGTATGGAACACTACTGAGTTTTGATAGTATGTATTTTTGTACTTATTCCTGTACATACTTTATTGAAGGGAAACATGAGCAGTGCAGGCCTGAACTTCAGTTCTTAAGTTTGGGATAATCCCTCTTTCTTTTTGCTAATATCTTCAGTTCTAGAAAGCTAGCTAATAAATCCTGATTTAGTTTTTTGAGACGCCTGCTCCTGTATAATAATGTCTGACGCAGAAGTGTGTGCATCACACCGTTAAACTTCACTCTTACTCTTCAGACCGCTGTAGAAATGTGCCATCAGTGGGGTGATCAGGAAGGAACTGCTATGAAAATGGCTCATAGCTTAAAACGAGGAAAATGCCGTTTAACTTCTGTGTACCAGCTTCCCCTGGACATGCTAAACTGAATGTTTGTAAATCAGGAATGTGATATCAGTGACCTTCTTCTTTCAAGAGCCATTGTAACTGGGACTGTCCTCAGTTTTATTTATAACTAACAACTGCTATTCATTCTGCAGCATGTGTACTGCTCCTAGGCTCTTTGTCTAGCTTTGATGTCCTTCAAATCTAACGATACCAGTTGCAAGCAGAATGTAAGACATAATGCTTCCCAACATCCATTTGTAATGGGACTTCACCATGGAGCATGCCGGGGGCATTTACAGTCTATTCTTCATCTTGGATTCAGCTGGATTTTAAATACCTTGCATGCAGTGAATTGACACTTCCAGAACAGTTTTCTTCAGTGTGGACACGATGACTGTGCTCCCCTGATGGGCAGACTGCCCATTCTATACAAAGCTAATGGAAGAATCTTCACGTAGACTAAATTTGTGGCTGTAATATTAAACATAAAGTCCAGTTTTTATATATTCCAAAAATATAGTGTTACATGTTAGAAGCTATTGAACTCTGGTAAGCAAAAAGGTTTTGTGTCAAGAAACAGCATTTCTGCAGGAAATATTTGAGAAAAAGGCTCAATAATAGCTGCTGTGGTCTGCTGCATGTATTTTAATTATGGAAGTGTGTTAACTAAGAGGCTTTTGTGGGTTGTGTGGAGTATGTGTGTAGGGGATCGGGTTCTTTGGGTTTTGTTTAGTTGTTAAAAATGACTGCTGCCCCCAACTCGCTGTGCTTCAGTCTGCAGGTTCTAGTGACCTCTTGAACTGCTGCCTGAGGTCTTGCTGGTAGCGTGTGTAAAAGGACAATAAAGCAGTGGAACATTGAGGGTTTGGGGCTTGCGTACAGGGCACGCGTTTCAGATGGGATCCATATAGCCAAAACTCTCTTGAATGGTAGCTGTCGTGAAGCAGCTGAACATCTTGGTGGTACCGTAGATCATCTTTGACCCTTTTAGGGACCATAGGGGACTAGGAATTACTTTTTTTTTTTTAGCATGTAAGTGTCAAAGCAGTGTCAATGCTGTTTCTTTATTTCATTGCTAAGTAGTAATAAAAAGGTCTGTCTTAATTCACAGACACGGAAAGTAATTCTTTAGGCCCAACATGTGAGTTCTTATCTCTGCCTTGGTTTATAAAAATACAGAAATCTAGCTAGAAGAGGGAAATGCCAGTGGTGAAATACTTCTACCAAGCTGAAAAATTCTGATCAAAAGCAGATTTTTGACAGCAGTATCTGGGTGAAAACAAACTGAGGGCTGGAAGCCTGTTTATTTTCTAGCTGAAAGTTTGCGCTTTACACCATAAGCTACAGAATGTAGGGGTGAGCAGCCATGAATAGTGCCACTAGACCTTGCCTTTCTGTCCAGTACCTTCCCTGCCAATGTTTGAATTCCCAGATAACCGAATATTTTTAGTTTCTTTCCTTTACCATAGTGTGGTGTGCCTGTCTGTGTACTGCTGTGATTGAACAGCAGGTGTATGGAACCACTGGTGTAGAGAGAGTGTGAGCTAGCTGAAAGGATCAAGTAGTTCTCGGCTAATTTCCTCCATGTGGTAGACCTTTCAGAAGCAGAACTCTTGCCTAACAACGCTATCCTTTTCAAAGACCAGGGAAAACTAGCGTAGCTCTTGCTGCTTTAATGATACTTACAGACCAACCTTTAAAATTAGGTCTTATATACAGTGGTTTCTTGATGTTTTGTTACTTCATTGTGCTATGGTTTGCTAGCTGTTTTTCTAGATGACGAAGATCAGTGGGCTTTAGAAGAGGTGCTATGATACTTATTTGGAAGCCTGTCTTTGTTATAGCATTCAGCAGCAATGGGCACTGTGACTCTCTGTGCAATGGGGAGGGTACTGAAAGTGGTGTGGCTGAAAGCTGAGAAACATGTAGTGCAGATACAGGAGAGCTCTGCAAAGGTGTAGGAGTTTAGCCTTCACTTCCTCAGAGGACTTGACTGAACACAAAACTGCATCACAAGATGACTTGGTGGATTTTGTTCTCTCCCTACTGACTCACTTCCTCCCTTGTCCAGAGATAATGGCGATTTTGCAGCTGCTGTATTAATATCCCCACTGAGAACTTTTGGCTACAGAGCCTTTTTATTTTCATTTGGGGCCCACTAGTTTAGAATCATAGAATTGTTTAAGTTGGAAAAGACTTTCAAGATTATTAAGTCCAGCCATTAAGCTTGGTAGAAAGTAGGCTTCTGCTGTGTAAGGGGCAGGTATTTTTGTAGATGGCAACCTTGGGTATCCTCTCTTAGAATTACACACAGCTAAAGCTATACCAGCCAGCAAATATTTCTCTTCTTATTGCCAGAAGTTTGTCATGTTTGGACAGTAGTGTAGCTGTGAGCTGCTGCTCAAAATTGTACAAGAACCAGGTTATCTGTCTCATTTGTGAACTGGTAAGCATCTATGCGAGAAACTTTCAGTATACCTCTACACCTCTTGCTGTTATGCTGCAAGGCTGCTTTCCTTTAGCTTGAGTTTTTCCCTGCCCTCTCAATCAGCATTATTATTCCAGGATCAAAATATACTAGGGAAGAATGGTAGAGATTGGGGTCAGAATTGTATGTCAATTCTGAAGGTAGGCAAAATCTCGATGATTTTCAGTTCATCACCATGTCCTTGTACTGCACTCACTTTATTCTCCTAAGCAGAGTGGAGAAGGTGATGAAGCTTGGCAGACTGACTACTCTGAACTGTGTTTATTTGTCTTGATGCACCTACTTCTTACTAGTAGTTGTAATTTTTAAGTGTTTCTGATAAGCTTTTGGCATTTGCATTGCCTTCCTTGGTAAGGCTCCCTATTGGGCATAACCAGTGTATTTACTTTGAATGTTATTTTGTCAAAAAGACACAAAGATCTTACTGTTGTCATTCATGACTGCTGTAGTTCTACAGAGTTGTATTTTGAAAGGAGAATACTTTGTAATACCCCGGTCTCAACCATTTGAATGGTGGTTTCCTGAAAGATTTCTAATCAACTTACACCTTAGGGCATTAGAAACAATATACAGTTACTGTTCTTTCTCCATTGCAGGATATAGGTAGCTGTAACTGCTTAAGGCTTTCTAACTCTTGGTTTCTTTCAGTTAGTGGCACAAAGGGTTTGTCTGTCAATGACTTTTTGTCTGGTTTGGAGAATTCTGGATGGCTGCGTCATATCAAAGCTGTGTTGGATGCTGCTGTCTTCCTAGTCAAGGTAACTTGTATGCTGCTTTTTTGATGTCAAGTTGACTTGCTACTAGGTAAAAATCATACTTAATATTATGCAGTATGTAAAATTCTACAACCTGAGCTTTTTGGAGGTAGGTGCTCGGTGTACACTGATACATCTGATAGGCTGGTTTAAGTGTTATGTTTCTTTATGACTGGAGATGTTAAATATGCCAGCTAATGTTTGGGGATCTTTTGAATGCTGTTTGGTCACCTTATTGGGAGATGAAGAGATTCTTATGCTCCCTGGTTCTTTTAGGTATTTATGAAAGGTGTAACCAGTTTGGAAGTGGATGGAGCAAACTATCATTTAATATGTCCTGAAAAAAAACCTCCTGGGGAACTAATTGCAGAGGAGCCAGATTGGCTGTGCTGACTTCATTTGGCAAGGAAATAGGACTCATGAGTAATTCAGAGGAACAATTGCCTTTTGCCAGGCACCTGTGAAGCCAAGAGCTTGACCTGAGGGGAGCTGGGTGAGGGGAAAAAAAACCTGGATCTTTGTTTATACTAGGTGAAATAACAAGGAGGTAACTTCAAAAGTGGATGATTTGCCTGAAGATGACCCTCAAAAATATTTGGACTAACAGGATTTGAATTCTTAGCTGAAGTTAATAAGAATTTCCTAGACCTTAACTTTTGTGTAGTATGATGATGAACAAGTGGGTATCTTTAGTAGTGTGTTTGAGTTGGTTTATTTTTTTTTTAACCTGTTTGATTTATAAATGTGTAGGCCACTTCTTTCTTAGTATGTGTTGCAAGGAGGTTTTATAAATTTTGTTTTGTAAGGGATAGGAAGAGAACTGGGAACCACTGTAAATGTTCTTGTTACCTTGTGAAAAGGTGGTAGTAGAATTTCTTTTCTTTATAAGGAGTTTTCTGTACTTCCATGGAGAGAAATTACTAGCTTTCTGATAGTATCAAATCCTTTCCTCATAATAAACACTTTTCTGGCTCTGTTAAATAAAATGGTCTATGCTGTGAGTTTGGGATAAAAGTAGGTTTTATATTTACTTGCTAAATTTTGACTTCTGTTTAGGAACATTCACTAAGAAACCATTGTGTTTTGCAGGCAATAGCAGTTGAAAGCGCGAGTGTATTAGTGCACTGCTCAGATGGCTGGGATAGGACTTCCCAAGTTTGTTCTCTTGGAGCTCTCTTGCTAGATTCCTATTACAGAACAATCAAAGGATTCATGGTAAGCTAGCTGTTGTGTTGTTGAGTTGTTCCTTGGTAAACAGAGGGTGTAAAATGCTTGAGTGTGAAAGTGAGCAGTGTAAGCATACTAATGCCTATGTTTAAATCTTAGCCCTATCATTTGCTTTTTGTAGTTACAGCTACAAGATTTGCAGTATGCTGGTACATCTTTCTGTTAGAAATACTCTGCTACTGGGAAGAACCATTTATTTAAAACCTGAAATCCTGAAATACAAATAGCAGGTTGCCTTAAGCACCCTGCAGAAACATTGCAATGATTGCCTTTTGCATCCAAAAAAGCCTCTTACCTGTGATCCCGCAGTGCTTATTGAGATAGTAGATGTACAAAATAATAGCAGCTTTGTGCTTTTATCACTTGTCCCCAAAATCAACATTATTGAAATCTAAAAATGACAGCTCCCTCAGTGACAGAAACCTGAAGATATTTAAGCAATCTAAATTTCTTCATCTTTCTATAGAGAAGAAGAATAATTTCGGTATGATTATTCCAAATTTTAGAGTAGGAAAATCAACAGTGTTCTGCAGTGGCAATACAAGGTGCCATGGGAATGCCTGAAAAGACAGTACATAAAATTAGTTCCGTGTATTGGTTAGAACTAATTGCCACATATATTACAAGCAACAAAAATGAAGATAGAAAGGAACTAGAAGAGGATTCTTTTCTTATGAATAGTGAGAATGTGTGTAATATTTAAGGAAGTAAGTTAATCCTTTTGTTTTAATCCTACCTGTCAGTTAGATTTCTGGGAAGACTTTTGCAATGGGCAGGCAGTCCTGTGTTCCTTTTGGTGCTTGATACTGTGACTGAAGTGATAAAACAAGCTAATGTTGATATTAACAGAATTACTGCTATAAAATGTTACAAAGACTATATTGTGGTGTTTTATGTAGGCTATGATAGCAGGAATACAATACTAGAATTTTTCCTGTACTTTGCAGTTTTTTTGTAAGTTGGTTGATAATCTGTTTGTGAAGTCATACAATATTAGTGTGCTTAAAGCAAGCCTGGCTTAACAGCAGTTATCTGATTGTCAACCTGCTAAATATTTTTTTACTAGTTTTAGAAATGTGCTCTGAGAATCTCTTGTGAAAGACTTCCAAGAAAATTAAAGAACTACAAAGTGACAAATAGTTGCTCCTACTGTAGTTTATTTGACTAAAATTTAAAATACAATATATCCATAACCTGTGGAGTTAATACTATAGATGTAACATTTTACATGAGACTTTGTTTGGTTTTACCCTCTAGGTCTTGATAGAGAAAGACTGGATCTCTTTTGGGCACAAGTTCTCTGACAGGTAGTTCACTCTTCCAATACAGTAAAATGTATACAACAAACTGAACTAAATATTCTTAAAAACGAAGGACAACTTGTGGATGTTAAACTACTGCAGTGTTGCTATAAATTTTGCAATGAGTAAGCTATTTTGAGTAGACAGTGCAGTTTGTGTATTGCTATTTATTGAAATACCTATTGCATAGTTGATTTATATTATAGACGTAAATTTCTAGTGCTACTGGTGCCTCACTCTCGGATGCCAATAACTAACTGGGGCTAGTCTGCGTGTATGCATAGACAAGGCAAAACCAATCTAAGTGTTTTATATTGCCTAAATAGCTGTGACATAGCTTTAGTTTTGCAACCTTTAAAATGAGTTTGCATTTATGTTTGCTTTTAAAGATGAAGTCATACCTACCTTTAGAAGTCCTGTACATGAAGAGTTCTGTTTTTCTCTTGATCTGCCTGTCATCAACTATGACTTGTTAGTGTTATTTACTGCGTATTAATTTGCTTTTAGCTGGTATAGTCCAAATGTTGACTATGGAAGTAATAAACACAAAGGAACTTAGCTGTCTTACGTTGCTCTTCTGTACTGAATACAGTTGTGTGATTACTTACAAGTCAGAAAAATAGGTTAAATATAGACTTACTTCTATTCAAAAATTGCCCCAGTTCTCAAAGTTAGGTGCTTGATCTCCAAACCAAAGCTAGTGTCAAGTTAATGTGCTGTCATTTAAAAGCAAGTGCAACTAATACTTTTTTTTATTTCTAACTTAAACCTGTGTATGGAATCTTTCTTTCAGGTGTTGTCAGTTGGATGGTGATCCAAAAGAGATCTCACCAGTGTTCACCCAGTTTTTAGAAAGTGTATGGAATCTGACTGAGCAGTTTCCACAAGCCTTTGAGTACAATGAAGCTTTCCTCCTTCAAATACATGAACACGTCCATTCGTGCCAGTTTGGTAACTTCCTTGGAAACTGCCAAAAAGAGCGAGAAGAACTAAAGTAAGCAGACGCAGTGTCTCTTTTGTTTATTCTGGCAGACTAAGAACTCGTGTGATTCTTCTTCAGTTTAGGCTCTGAATAGAAACAGAGACAGGATTGGTAGTACTGAAAATGATGTTGAACTGCATCAGGGAACAACAGTGCTTCTCATGCTTTTGCACACTGAAGACAGTCTTTCTAATTCTGGGCGAAAATCCCATGCTTATTTTTTATAGGCAAGGTTAAGGCTTCTTTTTTCCTTCTGCCTCTTCCCTGCCCACCCC